TGTTCTTTGCTTTGTTAATGTGATGAATTACATTAATTGTTTTTCTTATGTTGAACCATCCTTGCATACCTGGTATGAATCCCACTTGGACATGGTGAATTATTTCTTTGATGTGTCATTGGATTCTTTTGGCCAGTATTTTATTCAGGATTTTTTTCATCTATGTTCATAAGAGATATTGGCCTATAGTTTTCTATTTTGGTGGTGTCTTTTCCTGGCTTTGATATCAAGGATATGTTTGCTTCATAGAATGAGTCTGAGAGAATTCCATCTTTTTCTATTTTCTGAAATAGTTTACATAGAATTGGTGACAGATCTTCTCTGAATGTTTGATAAAATTCACTTGTAAAACCATCTGGTCCAGGGCTTTTTTTGGCTGGAAGTTGTATTACCTTTTGTAATGGGTCTGTTGAGATGTTCAATTTTTGTTTGTGTCAGTTTAGGTAGGTTGTGCATTTCTAAGTATTTGTCCATTTTCTCTAGGTTTTCATATTTGTTTGAGTATTGTTTTTCCATAATATTCTAATGTTAGCTTTCTTATTTTAGTTGGTTCTGTTGTGATGCTGCCTGATTCATCTCTTACTCAGATTATTTGTGTCTTCTCCTTCTTTTCTTTTGTGAGTTTTGCTAATGGTTTATAGATTTTATTGACCTTTTCAAAGAACCAACTCCTAGTTTTGTTGATAGTTTCAATTGTTTTTTGGTTTTCTATTTCATTTCTTTCTGCTCTAATTTTTATAATTTCAGTGTTGGTTTTTGGGGTTTTTTTTTAGGGTGTCGGGTTTTTTTGCTGTTCTTTCTCAATTTGCTGGAGATGTTGAGTTAGAGAGTCAATGGTCAATTTTTTTCTGCCTTTTGATGTGTTTGCTTATTGCTATAAATGGACCTCTGATTACTGCTTTGGCTGTTTCCCAGAGGTTTTGATAAGTTGTGTTTTCATTGTCATCTGTTTCAAGAAACTTTTTAATTTCATTTTTCATTTCTTCTAGTACCCACTCATGTTCAAGTAAGTTGTTGTGCAGCTTCTGAATGTTTGATTTTTTTCTCCTTTATCCTCTTCTTATTAATTTCTAATTTTGTGGCATTGTGGTCTGAAAAGATACTTTGTATAATTTCTATGTTTTTGAATTTGTTGATGCTTGCCTTATGACCCAGAATGTGATCTATTCTGGAGAACGTTCCATGCACATTGGAAAAGAAGGTATACTGTGCTTTTTGGGGGTTCATTAGCCTATAAATATCTATGAGATTGAGTTGGTTTACTGTGTGGTTTGATTCTTGAGTGTCTTTGTTGAGATTCTTTCTGGTAGTTCTAGCTTTTCTTGCGAGGAGTGTATTGAAGTCTCTAAGTATTATAGTAGTGTTGTCTATTTCCTTTTTCAGTTTTGCTAATATTTTTTATATATTTTGCAGGTCTCTCATTTGGTGCATAGTCCTGTGCCAATCTTGTTGTCTCTGATACACCTATCCCCATTACCCCAGTCACTGAATCAATCCATTTCATTGAGGGTCTTCCTCTCTTGTGCTGTCCCTCCACCCTCCCAAGCATGATGTCCCTCTCAAAGGACTGGTCCCTCCTTGCAACATGTCCAAAGTATGTCAGACGAAGCTTCAGAATCCTTGCCTCCAAGGAGCAGCCTGGTTTCACCCTCTCCATGACAAACCTGTTTGTTCTCCTAGCAGTCCATGGTATGTTCAATATTCTCCAGCACTACAGCACAAAGGCATCAATTATCCTTCTATCATCTCTAGTCATTGTCAAGCTCTCTGAACATAGCAAGTAATTGCAAAGAACATGGCCTGAATCAGGTACACCTTAATCTCCAGACTGACATCGTCACTCTTCAGTACTTTGGAGAAGTCTCTGACAGCAGACTTTCCCAATGCAATCTTTTAATTTCCTGGCTGCTAGTACCAAGAGTGTTGTTTGCGAAGCCAAGCAAACTGAAGCTGCTAACAGTCTCAATCTCTTCACCGTCTATCATGATGCTGTCAAACAGCCCAATGGTAAGAATCTTTGTTTTATTGATGTTGAGCTTCAATCCCTATTGAAGACTGTAGTAGTCCTTGACCTTCACAGCAAGCGCTTCAAGTCCTCCTAAGTTTCAGAAAGCAGGGTTATGTATGTCATCTGCGTAATGCAATTGTTAATGAGTCTTTCTCCAGTCCTGATGCCACACTTCTCCTCATACAGCCCAGCCTCCCAGATAATCTCTTCTCCATATAGATTGAAAAGGTATGGAGACAGGACACATCTCTGGAGTACACCCTTCCCAATTCTGAGCTATGCAGGGTTGCCTTGCTCTGTTCTGACCACTGACTCCTGGTCCAAGTATAAATCGCGTAAGTACTATCAAGTGTTCTGAGACTCCCCTTCTTCTCAGAGTCAGCCACACTTTGTTGTGATCCACACAAGTGATTGAAAAGACATTGACCTAGAGAGCTCTGGTGGCCTAGTGGCAAAAAGCTGCACTGCAATCCCAGAAGTACATGGTTCAAATCCACCAGATGCTCTGTTGGAGAAAGGAGGGGCAATCTCCTCCTGTGCCAGTCAGTTCTGATTTGATGGTACACAAACACAAAATAATAAAATTTAAAAAAAGGGCCTTGGCCAGAATCAGCTGTATCTTAGTCTTTAAACTGACATCATTGCTACTCAGTAATTTGGAGTGGTCACTGACAAAAGAGTCTCCCAATACTTCTCCTGATCTCCTGACTGCTGGTACCAAGGGTGGCAGGATGGTATAACCCCGGGACAGGAGACTATGTGGTTTCTGTTCTCACCACAGCCAATGCGTTAGCTACGGACAGTAAGAACCAGGGTGGGAGGAAGGCTGGGTGCCTTCGTGTCCTTGTAAGTGAACAGCCGGTGGGGGTGACACTATGGTAGAGGGGACAGCCCTGGAAAGAGGGCAGGGCAGGGAACTGAAGTGCTGTGTTTAAGTGCAAGCCGCGCCTCCTCCTGGGTGTACTGGCAGGTCCAGACAGGGCTCCCACTGCACAAGTCAGTCTGGCCTAGCTGCTCCTGGGATGCTGAAGGCTATGTCTGAGAGAGAACGTCTACCCCTACTGCCCTCTCTGCTGGCCCTCAGAGCTGGTCCCCAGTCAAAGCACAGCCTCTCTGCACCAGAACAAAGCGATGGCACCCAGCCCCAGAGCTAGCAGGAGACTGACATGCTCCAGGGATCTCCACAAAGACTGGTCTACTTTACATTGTTAAGGTCCTTAAACGACTGAAGGTAAGACGCAGGTGTCCCTTCTCCGTTATCATGCTCCCCAGGAGCCCACGCGCCCAGAGCCCACTCACCAGGGCCAGCTTGCTATCGATGCTCCGGTGGTGATCATACACGAGGTCACAGACCATGCACAGGGCATTGCCCAAGCCCTTGGTCAGGGGCAGGTTTGGGTCAGCTCCCTGGACCAGAAGCTCCTTTACGACCTGGATCCACAAGCAGGCTTGTTGTCAAGCCCTGAGCACCTTCCTTCACAGAAAGTCCCCAGAGCAGGTCACATTGGTGTGGCTGGATGTCCTGCTGTGGCACCACCTGGCACTGCCCACAGCCTTGTCACCTGGTTCCCCCCTCATCGACCAGAGGGGCACTCCGTTACCCACTGGGTGGGGCTGGCATGCGACCCCAGCCCCACGAAGCCGCTGCTTCCCGGGGCTCTTCCACACTGCTCCCTTTCATGGCTCGGCCCCTTTCCCTTACTAACCTGTGACATCCAAGTGTTTGCACGATTCCATCTTCATGCCACCACCTCCCTGGCAAACCCCATGGCAGCAGGTGGGTGGGCAGGTAGCAGAGTGGAGACACTCACCAGGTCATTGCCATTGGTGATGGACAAGGATAGTGGGGAGTGGCCGCTCCACAGTGTGTTGGGGTTCGCTTTGTGGGTGAGGAGGAGCCGGACGATGTCCCTGGTGTGCTGAGAGGAGCAAGGCAGGGAAGAAGCACATCACGTCAGAGAGGCGCCCGCCCCCGGCTAGTCAAGCAGCTGCTGGCTGAGAGCAGTCACAAAGTCCGTGTACAGGACTGCCCACAGCAACATCTTCCTGGCCCGCAGAGGGCAGGATAGACGGATGAGTGGATGGGTGAAGGCAACCTCAAAGTGAGAAGATAGAAATGTTTCCTAAACATGCTCCCAGGGACCTTGTGTGGCCTAGTGCTAAGAAGCTGCACTACAATCCCAAAGGCACTTGGTTCAAACTCACCAGCAGCTCTGCAGAAGAAACTCACTGTTACTGCCTCTGAAACCCAGCTGGAGGGTGAGCTGTGGGTCAGTTCCCACTCAAGGGCATTCTTTCCACAAGGAAAAGAACCAAACGGCTCCTCACCATCAAGCGGAAGTCCTAACTGACCCTCCACTGAGTTTAAATTGTGCGGGAGGTGGGGGGGACTGTCCCTCAGTCTCCCAGGGAGTCTCTGCTGGGGTCAAACTCCCCACGACGTGCACTCACTCCCTGGGGAGGGTACCACCAGGGTGCCTGCTATGGAAAACGGGGACAACTGATACACGTTCCATTCCAAGCTTGTTTTCAAAGGACAAGGGGGTAGTCAGGGGGACAGGACTGCCATAGCTGGGGGGGATGTCTCTCCACCTTCACCAGGGCTCAGTGGTCACACAGGATGACCAAGACGTGAGAGACACCTCACCTCACATGGACCACCCTGTCCTCCAGATGAACAATGCTGGACAGAGAGGCCAGCCACCTCCCCTTCCCACAGAACACTGACACCACTGCTGCCCTCGTCCCCCCACAGCTCCCCCCATGCTGGGCTTCTGCAGGAGGGAGTTCTGGCTGCTTGACCAAAGCTCACCCTGCTGTCACCCTGAGCACTGTCACCCCGCCTACTGACCACTAGCCTTCTCTTCCCTCCACTGCTCACCATGTCTTCCCCCCACTGTCCACTAGCTTTGTCCTCCCCCACCACCCACCTTGTCCTCCCCACCACCACCCACTAGCCCTCTCCTCTCCCAACTGCTCACCTTGTCCTCACCTCACTGTCCACTAGCCTTATCCTCCCCCACTGACCACTTCCTCCCAAAGCCCACTAGCCTTCTCCCCCCACACTGCTCATCTGTCCTCTCCCACCACCCACCTTATTCCCCCACCTTGTGCTTCCCCACTGCCCACCTTCATCCCCCCCCACCTTGTCCTCCCTCCCCTTGTCCTCACCCAGCGCCCACCTTGTCCTCCCCCAGCTTGTCCACCTTGGCTTCTCTCTGTCTGGCTCACCTGCTCACCTCACCCCCGCCCACCCCCATGGCTGCTCACCTTGCTGTCATCCTCTCGCTCACAAACCACGTGCAGTGCAGTCCTGCCCCCCTCGGGGGCCGGCGGGCATGGGGTGTAGTAGCTGCTGGGTGGGCCCGGTTCATTGTTCAGCTTCAGGCTCGAGGACAATAGTTCCACCTGTGTGCACCAGGTGAGGGTCAGGGAGTCCTCTAGCTCATCCCACACAGTATGGGCTCAGGGCTACTCCCAGGCCTGGAGGCTGACACCGTCTCTCTGTCACCCTTCGTGCCCACATGTGTGGAGAACCAGCATCCTCTCCCTCCCACAAGCTCCCATGGGGGCTGCACCAGGCTCTGTGGGGACAACTGCGAAGACCACAGTCACCATAACACCAATGTGCTGCTTTCAGAGGGGATAAGCCAGGTGCAGTGGGTCTGGGGAGCTGCCTCTGGCCGGTGCCTCTGAACCAGCCTCAGGGGCCAGGAGGTGGGCACGCAATGTGGCCCCCTGTAGGCTGCCTGGCCATCCCACCTTCAGGACCACATCCCACCTGTGTCTGAGGGCATGATCTCCTCATGAATCAGCATGCACCACCTCCTGGCACCCCCAAGAACCCTGCTCCCCCACCACAAGCCCAGCAAGGGATGCGGGCCACACTCTGGTCTCCCAGAGTCCTGGCCACATGGCCTCACTTGGCCCATGGGGGCAGAGAGCTGTGAGGCTGAGCGCAGGATCCTCTCTGAGATATGTGAGGGTCTCCCCTGCCCTCCTTGGTCTGCAGTGGCCCCACGGCCTACACCGCCACAGCCCAATGACCAGCACTACCCCTCCCTGTGCTCCTGAAGCTCAGAGCCTGGGGGGACATGACACCCGTGTTCAAAGGGACCCCCAAAAGCTAGGCTCCCTCAGCCATACTTGGCAGGCCAGGTCTGGCCCCTTGGACAGCAGCAAGTTAGAGGCCTGAGAGACAGGCTGCTGGGGCCACCTGGGAGCAGCAGAGCTGGTCCCCTCTTGCAAAGGGGCAGTGGGGACAGGAAGAGGCAGCGCTGATGACCCATCCCGTTGACAAGGCACCTCTTGGAAAGGATGACACTGCAGAGGGGTCTGTCGTTTCTCAGAGGGCGCCCTGCGGCCCTGAGCTGCCTCACAGACAGGTTCTGTTTTGGATCTTGGAACGAGCTGCCCACTAGGTAATCCTGGCTGGGGACTGGTTGTCTGTCCTAGGACCCCTGACCCCAGGGGTCCTGTTGTGTTCTTATTGCTCCAGACTCAAGGTCACTTGTCCAGACACAGGCCAGGCCAGGGCCAGGACCTAGACCACAGGTGACTGACAGGAGCAAGCAGATCACGTAACCTTCTGCCTTAGTGGAGAGTGGCTTTCGCTGGGGACTGTCCAGTAGATTCCAACTTGTGGAGACTCACGTAGCCGAGGACTTCTCCACGGGGCTTGCAAGGATGCGGCCCAGCTGCGCCCTTTTGGACAGGCTGCCACGATTTTGATCCACCGCACCTCTGGGTGAGGTCCGGCTCTCAACTCGGGCTGGTCAGTCACCAAATGGGCTGCTCCAGCCACAGCCAGATGGCTTCACACAGAATTCCCAAGTCCTCTCGCTCTCAACCCTAGGAGCACCTGGCCCTGGTGTCCACACCCCCAGGTACTCCTGGTCCTGGCACTCACCCCCACGGCTCCAGTATGCCTGGACCTGATGTGTAGCCCCACACCACCAGGTACACCTGATCCTGACATCCAGCCCCATAGCCCCCAGGTACACCTAGACCTGGTACACGCCCCCAGGCACTCCTGAACCTGACACCCACCCCCACGCCCCCAGGTGCGCCTGGACCTGGCACACGTCCCCAGGTACGCCTGGACCTGACACCCACCCCTATGCCCCCAGGGGCACACCTTGTGTGGCCGGTACACCTCATCCTGGTCGCTGGCCTGGGCATTCACGTCCGTGATGGCCTGGAGCAGCAGCTCCGTTATCTGAACGCCCTCCTCACCTGGCAAGGCAGCGGCGATGTGCAGGGGTGTCAGAGACCGCAGCTGGAAGGGAGAGGTAGGGGGTGAGGCCGGGGAGCCCCTTCAAGGACAGAGTTGTGTTCCCCTAAACACAGGAGGTCTGACCCCTGCACTTGCAGATGGTGCTACCTGGAAATAGGGCTCATTCTGGGTAGGAGTAGTGGGGGATTAAACACTGGCTGCTACCCCAAGTCAGCATTTCAAACCCACCGACCAGTCTTCAGGAGACATGTGGGAAAGCTCCTTCTGTCAAGATTCCCAAAGCCCTGACCCACTGCCGATGAGCCCCTTCCAACCCACAGACCCTGCAGTTTCCCCGGTTGTGGATCTTAACAGGAGGCGATGAGCACCTTCCCCCCAGGAGCCTGAGGTGGATTGGAGCCACCAGAACAGAGGCCTTGTGGTTAACAGCACAGCTCCCCATGGACTAGCCACCAGAACCCAGAACTGGGGCCTGCAACCTCAGGGGTGTCCTCTGTCCGGCTCAGAGGCCAGGCTTCTGGTATGGATCTCTGCTGTTAACCTGAAACCCGCACCTCTGGAGGTTCAAACGCACTAGTTGTTCTGAGGGAGAAAGACAGGCGGTCTCCTCCAAGATTCGCAGCCTCAGAAACCAGGTGCAGCGTGGGAGACAGCCCAGCTCCGGCAGTCAGTGCTGAGTTTCTGTTAGGGAGGCTGCACTGGGAACGGTGGTGTGTGCCCGAGCCCCTCTGAGGGGGTGTGACAAAGGGGAGAGCAGGTGAGGAAGGGGCATCAGAAAGCCCAGGGCTCTCTGCACAGCTTCTCCAGGCTGAGAGACAGAAGACCCAGTGGGGCCCTTGGCTGTGAGGACACATGCACCTGTGTCCTGTGGACACCTGTGTACGTGTTATTACAAATGCCAGGAAACAGACACTCCTTATAGCAGCATGGCTGAGGTCCCCAGACACTGGGATGCAGGCCTGCAACCAAGGGACCCTGGAGCTCACCATGCCCTCTCACCATCTCCATCCCCCCAGGACTCTCCTCTCACCATCTCCATCCCCCCAGGACCCTCTCTCACCATCTCCATCCCCCCAAATGCCTCCTCTCACCATCTCCATCCCCCCAGGACCCCCTCTCACCATCTCCATCCCCCCAAATGCCTCCTCTCACCATCTCCATTCCCCCAGGACCCTCCTCTCACCATCTCCATCCCTCCAGGACCCCTCTCACCATCTCCATCCCCCCAGGATTCTCCTCTCATTATCTCCATCCCCCCAGGATCCTTCTTCACCATCTCCAAGCTCCTCAGGATTCCCCTCCCACCATACATTCCCCTAGGACCCTCCTCTTACCATCCAACCCTTCAGGACCTGAGATCTACGTGGACAAATGCAGACATGAACCCCATGAGCTAGGGATCAAAGGTCCTCCACAGGCATGAACCATCAGGGCCACATTCTACGAGGCCTCTGATGCAGGGGACAGGATGCACCCTTATGGAGCTGGGATGGGGACCAGCCAGCGTGAAGATTTGGAGCCCCTGCCACGTTTCCATCTGTAACCCGAGTGGCTCACCCACTGAGCATCTTCAAGTCAAAATTGTGTTTGGAAAAGGACAATGTAATTGTGTTTGGAAAGGATAGTGAATGTTCCTTAGTGGTGATGAGTGAACGATGAAAGGTGAAAGGCTGCAACCCATTCAGATGCATGAAGGCTCGTGTGAAATCACCCAGGGCTCTGGACACTAACTCCCTGTCCACCAACCTTCATCTCAAGCCAACCACTGGCCTCCAGACACTAGAGGCCACCACGGAGCAGCAGTGCTGTCAGCCATGACCCACTGCGTGCAGTCAATACGACAGCTGGTGACCCTGCAGGGCAGAGTGCAGCTACCCGGGGATCGACAAGGCTTTGGCCTTCATGGAAAGAGACTGCTGCATCTTCCTCTGGCGGTGGCATGGGCAGGCTCGCACTGCCAATCTCTTGGCTAGCAGTCCAGCCCTTAAATAGTCAAGAGACAAAATGCTGTTCTTGTTAACTGAGCTTGAACTTGCATGACCCTCAGCTCCAGGGGGAAGCTCCTCCATGAGGCCCTGGCTGTAATCATCAGGGAAGGGCACAGGGTTGGAAAAGCAGAGGGACAGTGACTGTCACAGGGCAGTGACAATAAGTTCGAGTACAGTGGACACTGCATGGATGGCATTTTTGTGCTGTTGTGCACAGGACCCTGGGGGTCAGAGTAAAGCGGACAGCATCTAACAATAGCAACCTTTGTAAACAAAGCTCCAAGCCTCTGCTCTCCGGCGCAGCAAGGGGGCATCAAGTCACCAACTTTTACGTTTGCAGCTGATCTCAAGCCCATTCACCACCCAGAACTGTAATAAAGCCGCATTCACTCAGTTGTTGTTGTTAAGTGCCATTGAGTCTAGTAGGACTCGTAATGCCCTTGGGAACAACAGCTCTGAACCCTGTCTGTGCACCCTACTCTGTGGCAACCTCACAATCTCTGACACCTTTGAGCACATTGCTGCAGTCGCTAGGTTAATCCTTCCATCTGGTTGAAGCTCTTCCTTTCTTTTGCTGACCTTTCCGAGCATGATGTTCCTCTCCAAAGAACAATCCTTACAAACAACATGCCCCAAATCTGTCAGACGAAGCGTCCCCATCCTTGCCTCTCAGGAGCAGTCTGCACTTTCTCCTAGACATCTCTGTTCTTTTGTCGGTCCAAGGGATAGTCAGTGTTCTTCTCCAACACCATAACTTAAAGGCATCAATTCTCCTGTCATCCCTACTCATTTTTCAACTTTGATGCATAGCAAGTAACTGAAAAATCCATTGTCTGAATCAGAAATACCTTACTCTTTAAACTGACATCATTGCTCCTAGTACTTTGGAAAGGTCCCTGAGAACAGACTTTCCCAGTGTCATACATCTTTTGATTTCTTCATTGCTGGTACAAATGGTGTTGGTTGTGGATCCAAAGAAATCCGCTATCAAGACACCAAAAAAAGGATAGTTTCCAATATGTCGACCTCAACCCATGGTGACCCCATGTGTGTCTCAGTATAACATGCTCACAGAGTTTTCAGTGGCTGGTTTTTCAGAAGTAAATAGCCAGGCCATTCCTCTGAGGTACTCTGGGTCCTTGTCCTTCCAACCTTTTGGTCAACAGTGGACCTTGAGCCATGACTACCATCCAGGAGCTCCAGATAGGCATCACGCTCCTGCAGACAAACAGGGTCAGGCGCAAGCACGTCTGTCCTTCTCACTGAGGGTCGTCTTCTCTTTCACCGACCCTCTACTTTTCCAAGCATGTTATTTCTTTCCAAGGACAAGCCCTTCCTGACAGCATTCCCACAGTGAGTGAGATGAAGCCTCATCGTCCTTCCAAGGAGAAAGCCTCCTGACTGCACCTGCTCCAAGACAGACTTGTTTGTTCTCTTGACAGACCATGAGAGAGTCATTTAATGTCCTTCTCCAACATAACCATTCAGAGTCATCAGTTCTTCTTTGGTCACCTTGATTTATTGTCCAATGTTTATATGCACAGAAAGCAATGAAAAATACTATGGCTTGGCTCAGCTACACCTTAGTCTTTAAAAGGACATTGTTACCCTTTTGCACTTTAAAAAGTTCTTGGAGACAATTTTCACAATGTGACACTTACTTTTTTAAATTATTATTCATATTATTTTTTCCCTTTTATTATTCTTCATATTCTTTTTTTTAATAATTTTTATGAACTTTTACAGATAATTTGGATTTCCATTCATTCATTGCTGCACTTCTCTACCCGCCCAGCCCTCTCCCCCCGCCCCCCAGTTGGCTCTTCTCTTTCAAAAGTAAAAGAAAGACTCCCTCCCTGGTACACAATCCCCCCGTACCCCTCCCACCACCCCACATACATTCCACTATGCAACTTTAATTGTGGATTCTTGTGATAACCATAATACCCTATCATACATCGCTTCTAAACTATTCAGTCCCTCATCTGTTTCAGTGAAGTATACACAATTTATCCAGTTTTTCTCAGTCTTACCCCCACCCTGATATCAGTCCCATTTTACAGCAGTGGCACCATGCAATATTTGTCCTTTTGTGACTGAGAACGTTCACTCAGCATAATGTCCTCCAGGCTCACCCATTTTGAATAATATTGAATGAGTTCCTTGTTTTTCAATGCAGCATTGTATTCCATTGTGTGAATATACCACAGCTTCTCTATCCATTCGTTCGTTGATGGGCACCTGGGTTGTTGCAATAAACATGGGTGTGCATATATCTGCTTGGATGTCAGTTATGGTCTCTTTGGGATATATTCCCAGTAGTGAAATTGCTGGGTCAAATGGTATCTCTATTTGCAACTTTTTGGGAAAGCGCCATACCACCTTCCACAGTGGTTGCACCATTTTACACTCCCACCAACAGTGAATAAGGGTTCCAGTGTCTCCACAACCTCGCCAGCATTTGTTGCTTGCTGTTCTGTTAAATTTTGCTATTCTGACTGGGGGATGATATCTCATAGTTGTTTTGATTTGCATCTCTCTTAGAGCTAGGGATTTTGAACATTTCTTCATGTGCTTGTTGGCCATCTGAATGTCTTCTTTGGGGAAGTGACACATACTTTTTTAAAAAATAAAATTTTTATTTCATATTGGTTTACTTACAAAGATTGTATAAATTGTTTTTCACACCAAATATTTCCCGTTTCCATTACCCTCCCATCCATCAAATTGTGCGACCACATGATTACCCCCCCATCAGCCCATCCTCACCCCTCTGCTCCCCCTGCTTGGATCCTCATACACGTTTTACTCGTTATCTATTTCTACAATAATGCTCTTAGACAGTATTTGTCCTTAGGAGACTAAGTTAGTTCACTTAGTGTAATACTTTCCAGTCCCTTCCAAGTTACGTAGCGGTTTTCAAAACCATTGCTCCCGCATGCTGCATAGCATTGCGTCATGTGAATGTACCATAATTTCTCATTTTATTCCATTGTGGTTGGACATTTGGGCTGTTTCCATGTTCTTGCAGCGGTGAATAACACTGCTGTGACC